GGTGCCCACCACCACGCCCGGCTAATTATTTGTATTTTCAATGGAGACGGGGTTTCACCGTGTTAGCCAGGATGGTCTTGAACTGGTCTCGAACTGTTAGCCAGGATGGTCTCGTGATCTGCCCGCCTCTGCTGGGATTACTGGCATGAGCCACCTCTCCCAGCTGGATATATCTCTTCTTTATTTGGGTCTTTAAAATTTTTTCTTGGCTGGTCATGGTGGCTCACACCTGTAATCTCAACACTTTGGGAGGCCAAGGCGGGTGGATCACCGGAGGTCAGGAGTTCGAGACCATCTTGGCCAACGTGGTGAAACTCCGTTTCTACTAAAAATACAAAAATTAACCGAGTGTGGTGGTGGGCATCTGTAATCCCAGCTACCCAGGAGGCTGAGGCAGGAGAATTGCTTGAACCTGGGAAGTGGAGGTAGCAGTGAGCCAAGATCTGTCATTGCACTCCAGCCTGGGCAAGAAGAGTGAAACTCCGTCTCAAAAAAAAAAAAAAATAATAATAATTATAATAAATAAATAAAATAAATAAATAAATATAAAAATATAAATAAATATAAAAAATAAATATAAAAAATAAAAATAAAAAATATATAATAAATAAATAAATAAATAATGAAAAAATAAAAAATCAGCAAGTTTTCAGTGTAGAGAGCTTGTATATCTTGTGCTAAATTTATCCTAACTTTTGTAAATTAAAGTTTTAGGCCGGGTGTGGTGGCTCGCACCTGTAATGCCAGCACTTTGGGAGGCCAAGGCAGGTGGATCACCTGAGCTCAAGAGTTCGAGACCAGCCTGGGCAACATGGTGAAACCCCATCTCTACTAAAATACAAGAGATCACCCATGTGTGGTGGCATGTGCCTGTAGTCCCAGCTACTGGGGAGGTAGAGGCACGAGAATTGCTTGAACCTGGGAGGCAGAGGTTGCAGTGAGCCAGGATCACACCACTGCACTCCAGCCTGGGAGACAAAATGAAACTGTCTCAAAAAAAAAAAGTTTTAAATTTCAGCTGGGAGTGGTGGCGCATGCCTGTAATCCCAGCACCTTGGGAGGCCAAGGTAGGTGGATCACCTGATGTCAGGAGTTTGAGACCAGCCGGGCCAACATGGTGAAATCCGATCTCTACTAAAAATACAGAAAAATTAGCCAAGTGTGATTGCGGGTGACTGTAATCCCTGCTACTCAGGAGGCTGAGGCAGGAGAATCTCTTGAACCCGGGAGGTGGAGGTTGCAGTGAGTCGAGATTGTGCCACTGTACTCCAGCCTTGACAGAGCAAGACTCAGTCTCAAAAATAAGTAAATAAATAAATAAAAATAAACCAAATTTCATTTTGTCATTTTTGCTGCAAATATAAAATTTATTTTTTTTGTTTTTTAATTTTTGTTTTATTGCTTGTATTCTGTGAACTTTCTAAATTCATTTATTAGTTCTAGTAGTTGTTTTATAAAGTCCTTAGGGCTTTTACAGAAACGATGATGCCATCTGTGAATAGAAACAATTTTGCTTCTTTCTTTCTGCTCTTGTATGTCTTTTATTGCTGCTTTTGCCCTATTTCAATGACAAAGATTTTCAGTAACATGTTGAATAGAAGTGAGACTAGACATCCTGTGTCTATTTTACTTCACCACTAAGTATGATGGTAACTGTAGGTTTGTTCATGGATACCCTTTATCAGATTGTAGAAGTTCCCTTTTATTCTTAATTTGTGTCATGAACGGGTGTTGAATTTTGTCAAATGCTTTTTCTGCGTTCGTTGAAATGATCACATGGGTTTTCTCCTTATACTGTTAATAAGATGAATCATACTGATTGAGTGTCAAGTGTTAAGCCAACTATGTATTCCTGGCATAAACAACACTTGGTAATAAAGTATTATTCTTTTCTATATCACTGCATTTTATTTGCTAATATTTAAGCATTTTTAAAAGTTATTAATAGATTCTATTTTTTAGAACAGCTTTTGGTTTATAGAAAATTTGAGCAGAAAGTACGGAGAGTTCTCATATACTCCCTTTCCTACCCCAAACCTAGTTTCCCCTATTAACATCTTGCATTAGTGTGGTACATTTGTTACAACTGATAAACCAATATTGATACATTCTTATTAACTGAAGTCCACAGTTTATATCTAGGGTTCACTCTTTGTGTTATATGACTTTATGAGTTTTGACAAATGCATAATGTCATATATCCATAATTATAGTCTCATACAGGATAGTTTCACCTCCCTATAAAACCACGCTTCACCTAGTCTTTCTTCCCCCATCCCTGACCTCTTGGCTACTCCTGATCTTTTTACTGTCTCTATAGTTTTGCCTCCTCCAGAATGTCATGTAATTGGAATTATACAGAATATAGCTCTTCAGACTGGCTTCTTTCACTTAGAAGTATGCATTTAAGGCTCCTCCATGTCTTTTGTGGCTTGATAGCTTATTTCTTTTTATCACTGATTAATATTCCATTGTCTGAGTGTAGCACAGTTTATCCATTCTTTTTTTTTCTTTCTAAAAAAAACTTTTACCTTTTGAAGATCATTTTGGTTGCTTCCTGTTTTTTGGTAATTATGAATAAAGTTACTATAAACATACATATGCAGTTTTTTTGTGTGGACATAAGTTTTCAACTCATTTGGATAAATACCCAGGAGCACAATTGCTGGATCGTGTGTTTAACTTTGTAAGAAACTGCCAAACTATCTTCCAAAGTGGCTGTACTATTTTGCATTCCCACCAGCAATGAATGAGAGTTCCTGTTGCTCCACATCCTTGTCAGCATTTAATGTTGTCAGTGTCCTGGATTTTGGCCATTCTAATAGGTATCTAATGGTATCTGGCTGTTGTTTTAGTTTGCATTTCCCTAATGACATATGATATTGGGCATCTTTTCATATGCTTGTTTGCCATGTGTACTGTTTTTTAAGTTTAGATTTTTAAGTAATGATTTTTAAGTTTAGATTAATGAAGGATATTGATCAGTATTTTTCTTTTTTGTGATTTTATCAGGTCAGGTTTTGGGATCAGTGTTCTAATGACCTCTCAAAATAAATTGAAAAATATTCCTTCTTCTTTATTTTCTGAAAGAGTTTGTGTAACCTTGATGTTATTTCTTCCTTAAATGATTCACCAGTGAAACCATCTAGGCCTGAAATTTTATCTCTTGGAAGACTTTTTCCTTTTTTTTTTTTTGAAACAGTCTCACTCTGTCGCCCAGGCTGGAGGGCAGTGGTGTGATCTCGGCTCACTGCAACCTCCGCCTCCCGGGTTCAAGCAATTCTCCTGCCTCAGCCTCCCGGAGTAGCTGGGATTACAGGCGCCTGCTACCACGCCCAATTAATTTTTGTATTTTTGGTAGAGATGGGATTTCACCATGTTGGCCAGGTTGGTCTCCAACTCCTGACCTCAAGTGATCCTCCCACCTCAGCCTCCCAAAGTGCTGGGATTATAGGCGTGAGCCACCATGCCCAGCAGAAGATTTTTAGATAGCAAATTTATCTAATACATATAGGGTTATTTAGGGTTTTTATTCTGTCTTGTGACAGTTTTGACAAGTTGTATTTTTCAAGGAATATTTTCATTTCATGTATATTGTTTGGTTTTTGGCATAATGTTCATTAATTTCTCTGTTATGCTTTAAACTTCCTTTCTTTTCTTTCACTGCAGCCTCTATGTCCCAGGCTTAAGCAGTCCTTCTACTTCAGCCCCCTGAGTAGCTGGGACCACAGGTGTGCACCACCACATCTGGCTAATTTTTTTTTTTTTTAATGTTTTTAGAGATGGGATCTCCCTACGTTGCCCAGGCTGATCTCAAACTCCTGGGCTCAAGCGATCCTCCTGCCTTGGCCTCCCAAAGTACTGAGACTACAGGTGTGAGCCACTGTGCCTGGTCCTTTTTGCTTTTCTGATATAAGCTTTACAGCTATAAATTTCTCTATAAGCATTGCTTTAGTTATATCCAACAAATATTGATGTTTTTTGTTAGCATTCAGTTGGAAATCTTGTAATTTATTTTTTGACCATAGATTATTTAGAAGTACATTGTTTAATTTCCAAACATTTGAGACTTTTTGGATGTTTTGTTGTTAATACTTTCTGTCTTAATGCCATTGTAGTCGGAGAACATACTCGATAGGAAAAAGATATCCATTGAAAATAGATATTCTGGGGGGAAACGATGGGGTTAATGTTTGAGCACCGTGTCCGTATTTTGTGATCTTCCTCACTAGAATGTAAGTTCCACAAGGAAAGAGACTTTGTTCTGTTTTTTTTTGTTGTTGTTATATTTTGTTTTTGAGACTGGGTCTTGCTCTGTCACCCAGGCTGGAGTGCGGTGGCACAGTCTCAGCTCACTGCAGCCTCGACTTCCTGGGCTCAAGTGATCCTCCCACCTCAGCCTCCTGAGTAGCTGGGACTACAGGCACGCACCACCATAGCCAGCTGATTCTTTTAGTTGTTTTAGCGATGGGGTCTCACTGTGTTTCCCAGGCTGGTCTTGAACTCCTGGGCTCATGCAGTCATCCCACCTTTGCCTCCCAAAGTGCTGGGATTACAGGCGTGAGCCACCACACCTGACCAGAGCCTTTGTTCTGTTCAGTGCTTTATCCCCAGCACCTGGAACAGCTGGACTGAATTAATGTTCTATGGTAAATGTTCAGCTTTTAAATTTCTGTTCTGGCTACAGTTTAAGCCCAGTAAGATGATTCAGACCTGGTCTCTGCCCTAAAAACATGTGGGGAATAGAAACAAACTAGATGAACTATAATGTTAGGACACTACTCCAATTACATGCAAAGTGCTGTGGGAAGGCAGAAAATGTGGTCTTAAATTCTTAATAGGCTGGGTTGGTACCCCTGGGGGAGGCTTTCCAGAGCCAGTGACAGTGGGGCCAGGCCTGCAAGGATGAACTGGAATAGGCAGGGCATTCCACAGGGAGAAGTATAGTTTGTTTTCTATGTGTATAATCTCTCCTTTTTTTTTTTTTTTTCCTTCAAAAGGATCAGGCTCAAGTTCACTACAGGTCACAAAACACAATGTCTTGTTGGCTACTTTAAAATCTAACCTGTCTGCTTTGGAGGACAAGTTTCTGAAGGATCCTCAGTGGAAGAATCTGAAACTCCTAAGAGATGAAATTGCTGGTAAGGCAGAATGGCCACAAAACTCTGTGGATGTCACTTGGAGTTTTACCTCTGAAACCTTGTTGTTGCTTTTGTGCTTGAAGGAAACCATGCTCCTCCTTGCAGCTAATTTCAATCCAGGTAAACCCAACCCTAGGACTCCGGAAGTTGCTCCTGCCCTGAGTCCCGATGCACTTAGTATCTCACAGCAGAAGACTGTCCAGTTCGTTTTGCAGTTTGTAGTCACCTTGGGTATTTGCCCCTATCTCATGCCTGGTGTTGGAGTCCCTTTGAGATATAGAACTGAGTTTGGTGCCGTCGTTCAAGACGTGGTGTGTCTCGATGCTGCTCCTGATGCAACTCGAAGACTGTACACCAGCTGCAGGGCCCTTCTAAATGTTGCTCAGCACACATCTCTGGGAAGCTTGATATTCTGCCACCATTTTGGGGATATTGCAGCAGGTCTGTGCCAACTGGGATTCTGCCCAACCAAAAGAAAACCACTAACACCTGCAGAAGAGGTAAATATACATGGAGAAAGAGAGGGAGAGATTGTGTGTGTGAGAATATGTGTATATGTTTGTGGATAGTTGTTATAAAAGGCAACTCTTAGTTCTTCAGAACTGGATATGCCAAAGCATATCCAATGGATAAATGAATCTTTTCAGGGTGGGTGGAGGTTTCATTTTTTGGGTACTCTTCCTTTGCACACCTGTAGAGTCCATTTTGCCTGTCCCTTATCATCTTGGGAAACAGCTATTGCAGGCTGTTTCTTTGAGCCTCTGTTTCTTCTTCTATAAAGTGTGTATCATAATACCTGCCTCAGAAGGTGGTCATGAGGATTAAGGATAATGTGTGCCAAGTATCTGGCCCAATCTCTAGTAGTGCTCATATAATTCCTACTGATACTAGTATCATGGCTCCCTCATTAAATGCTTGGGAGGATTAAATGAGATAACACATATAGAACACCTGGTACACTCCAGAACTCTGTCAATGTTCATTGTTATTATTAGGTGTTAGGGGTTGCTGTCACTCAGTCGAGTAAGCAGTTGAGCACCCATACTACAGAAGTTGCTATGGAGATCATAGACGCATAAGACATGGTCCTTTTCTGCAAATAACTCACACACTGACTGGGGAGATAAGACTTACAGGGATGACATAGCAGGAACCACTACCCCCGCCATGAGAGGACCACTGGCATCAGCATAGGAACTGGCCAGCAGAAGCCCTTAAGATGTAAATGTCTCAAGGGTCAGTGTGGCCCTCAGGCACAGTGATTCCCCAGCCTCCACAGCCAGGTTTCACAATGTTCTCGTTTCTTTATCACCTGCCTGTGTCACCCTTGTCCTTGTTCCTTTTCTCTTCTCTCTCCTGCCTACATTCATAAACATTTGCCTAAAAGTCACTATCATTCAAGTGTTGGCATGAAATTCTGAGCTCCCCGGGGCCTTTATGTGATAAGAGCAGAGTGCCTCCTCCTTCCGGCAGGGTTATGCGTATTGACACTTCTAGCAGCACCTCCTGCCTGCACTTCCCTGAGGTAGTGTGATCCAGGTTGACAGGTCTTATTACTGTTACTGAGGCTAAGCTGTGCCCAGGGATCTCAGGCAGGAGAGAGAAATGAAAAGGGAAACACAGAGAAAGAACCAAGTAGGAAGGCAGGAGAAGGAGTTGATAGAGTGGAAACAGGCTAGGTGTACATTATGAAGCTGGACAAAGTCCCACTAACAGCTGTGTTCTAAGTAGCACCCATACCTCAGTGTATGAAACAGTAATGGGCAGAACCCTGACTGTTTGACCCTGAGCAGTAATCATCAAGGAGAATTGTACTGTTATGGCTCAAGGGTACCCCAAAATTGTACCCCTCTTTGCTGCCCCAATCCCAAATGAATTAAAAGAGAGTTAAGAAGAGTAAGAGAGATGAACAATGTTACCTCTATTGCTCATAAAGGCAAAGCTGGAGGATGTAGCTTATAGATGGAGACAAATCTTTATTTTTTATTTATTTTTATTATTATTATTATTATTATTATTTTTTTTTTTTTTTGAGACGGAGTCTGGCTCTGTCGCCCAGGCTGGAGTGCAGTGGCCGGATCTCAGCTCACTGCAAGCTCCGCCTCCCGGGTTTACGCCATTCTCCTGCCTCAGCCTCCTGAGTAGCTGGGACTACAGGCGCCGCCACCACGCCCGGCTAGCTTTTTGTATTTTTTAGTAGAGACGGGGTTTCACCGTGTTAGCCAGGATGGTCTCGATCTCCTGACGTCGTGATCCGCCCGTCTCGGCCTCCCAAATTGCTGGGATTACAGGCTTGAGCCACCGCGCCCGGCAATTATTATTTTTTGAGATGGAGCCTTGCTCTGTCACCCACCGCGCCTGGCGGGAGACAAAACAGTGCTCTTCAGAATTAGACACTCTCACTACTCACCCATTTTAAGGATCACTGGAAAACTGAAGCGCCTTCTGCAGGGGATATGCCTCTGAAAAATACCCAGCAAGAAAGAGCAGAGGAAAATGTGCAGTTACTCTCAAAAGACAGAAGAGGAACGAGCTGAGAGATGCATGCCAAAACCAGCCAATAAGTGAGTTTACTCCACCCTCAGCAGTAAGATCAGTCTCATAACCTGCGCAGAAGTGGAGTGAGCGAGATGGAGAGAGGACCAGGAATGTTTTAGTAGTACAGCTTCCCCCATGTGGAAGGAAATCAGAGAGGATAGAAACCTTCCTTCCGCTCCTCTCACAAGTATCTCTGTACAGTGTTGTAAAACATTACCTTCTATTGTCTGCCTGGTTTGAATTCCACTAAAGCCAAGTGCATATTTCTTTTAGGTTCTAACTGAAGAGGAAAGAACCCTATCCAGGGGGGCCTTGAGAGACATGTTGGATCAAGTCTATCAGCCCTTAGCAGTCCGGGAACTGCTTATCCTCCAGGGAGGACCACCCCAGGTACTCAGGCCTGGGGACTCTTGGGGGTGACTCATTAATATAATGTGTGGTATGCTGGCTTCTTCTAGAAAATTAAATAACTTCAGTTCCCTATTTAATGATCTAGTTGAGCCTTTTTCACCTTTTAGATCATAAAATGATGTTTATAAAACTAGATGACACTGACCCTTAGGATAATTTAAAAGACCTTTTCTCTAATGAAATGATGGACACTTTTCCCAAGAATATTATGATCACTTTTTTTAAGACTTACGGCAATTTTATGTGAGATATATTTTATTCATTCTGAAACTAGAGCTTCTCTTTTTTTAACTAAAAATTGGCTGTTTGACAAAACGTTCTTTCAGCACAAGTATCTGGACACTAATTCTTTGAATGGATAATGTATTTGAAGTCAAGAAATTAAAACTAGAGATATTATTTGTTCTATTCTTAGTTCCTTTGTTTCAAACATATAGTAGTGTATATTCTGCTAGGGATAAGAATGGCGTGAACCCTGGAGGCGGAGGTTGCAGTGAGCTGAGATCGTGCCACTGCACTCCAGCCTGGGCGACAGAGTGAGACTTCATCTCAAAAAAAAAAAAAAAAAGAAATCCAACTATTTTTTGGAACTGTGTCACAGGAATCAGAGTTGCTAATGCCACAGAGGCAAGGGCTGGAGTGCTCCCTCCCTGTTGTGAACCGCCCTCTTAGTGGCAAATAACGTTCATAAGAATCTTCCTTGGAAACTGGATTTGATTGTCAGGGCTACATTCAGAGATTGGTTGCATTAACTTGGTGTTCCCAAGATCTACATTTTAGTTGCTCATGCATTTGTCTGTTTATCAGTTTGAAATTTCATTGCTTTTCCACTGTTTTTTACTTTCTTAAAAGTAATGCAGAAGAAGGTTTTGTAAAGTTTTTTTTTGGTTTTGTTTTGTTAAGGAAAAAATATTGCTCTTTTGAAGTCTGTATAGCACACTGTTAATTGTCAGTATGACTCAGCACTTTTAAAAAATGATGTCTAGCTGGGCATGGTGGCTCACGCCTGTAATCCCAGAACTTTGGGAGGCTGAGGCAGGTGGATCACCTGAGGTCAGGAGTTCGAGACCAGCCTGACTAACATGGTGAAACCCCGTCTATACTAAAAATACAAAAAGTACCCAGGCATGGTGACGCGTGCCTGTACTCTCAATGACTCAGGAGGTTGAAGCAGGAGAATTGCTTGAACCCAGGAGGTGGAGGTTGCAGTGAGCCAAGATTGTGCCACTGCACTCCAGCCTGGGTGACAAGAATGAAACTCCGTCTCTAAATAAATAAGTCTACATATCATAGCTATTTCTTCTTCTTCTCCTTTTTTTTATTTTTACAGGCATGAACCACTGTTCCCGGCCATCATATCTATTTCAGTGACACTCAGAATTTACACCTTCTTCTTTTTCTCAGTCCTGCACAGATGTGAAGACACAGCTGAGGTGTCGGGCCCCAGCTTGGCTTCGGCGTCTATGTGGACAGCTGCTCTCTGAAAGGTTAATGAGGCCTAATGGTGTTCAGGCAGTAGTCCGGGGCATTTTGGAAGGAGCAGGTGGTAAGAAATAAAATGTTTCTGTGACTTTGGCATCTGTTTTCCTTTGAGTCAGAGTCTGAGGTGAATTATTGGTCTTTAGTATTTACCTTTAAAACCTGACTGAAACTCAATTATGTCCTTGCAGGGATTGAACAGGTTAAACTTAGATGCCCTTAATGAACTTCTTTACCAAAGAAACCAATTCTCTTGCTCTTTTCCTAAAACACTTGTGGTATACTGCCTATTTTATTGAACAATATTGTAAGCCATTTCAAATAATTTATAATATCCGGGGAAAACATTACACAGAAAGTTGAAGTAAAAGCCCTAAAGTAAATGTTAAATAAAGCTAGGTGTGGGCTGGGCACGGTGGCTCACACCTGTAATCCCAGCACTTCAGGAGGCCAAGGCAGGCAGATCACTTGAAGTCAGGAGTTCAAGACCAGCTTGGCCAACATGGTGAATCCCTGTCTCTACTAAAATACAAAAATTAGCCTGGCTTGATGGCGGGTGCCTAACCCCAGCTGCTTGGGAGGCTGAGGCAGGAGAATCGCTTGAACTTGGGGGGTGGAGGTTGCAGTGAGCCAAGATCGTGCCACTGCACTCCAGCCTAGGTGACAGAGTGAGACTTCATCTCAATAATAATAATAATAAAGCTGTGTGTGGTGGCTCACGCCTGTAATCCTAGCACTTTGGGAGCCTGAGGCAGAAGGACTGTCTGAGGCCAGGAGTTCAAGAGCAGCCTGGGCAACATAGCAAGACTCTGTTTCTACAAAAAAGAAAAATAAAATAGCCAGGTATGGTGGTGCCCACCTGTGGTCCCAGCTATTTGGGAGGCCAAGGCAGGATGATCACTTGAGCCCAGGAGTTCGAGGCTATAGTGAGCCAATGTCATGGCACTGCATTCCAGCCTGGGCAAGAAAAGCAAGACCCTGTCTCAAAAAAAAAAAAAAAAAAAAAAAAAGGTGAAATGTAAAATAATTTTCTTGAAGCCAGGAATACCTTTGAGAAATACCATTGAGACACAAACTTTGGGATGAAGTTTTAGAGTCATTCCCCCATTTATACTATCTAAGTTCTCATTAATAGGAAAAAAGTCAATGCTAAGCATGGTGGTAGTTTTTAATTTAAATATTTTTTGTTTTATTTTTTAGAGAAAATTAGACATGTACATCATTTAAAGTCAAATAGTTCTATGAGACTTATAGTGAAAAATAGCAGTCCTTGGTACCATTCCAATCCATTTCCCATCTCTGGAAGCAACCACTTTGAACTCTTCCAGTGAGTTTTTTCTGGTATTTACCTGTTTTTTGTTTTTTTTTTTCCCCCGAGACGGCGTCTTGCTCTTTCACCCAGGCTGGAGCGCAGTGGCGTGATCTCGGCTCACTGCAACCTCCGCCTCCAGGGTTCACGCCATTCTCCTGCCTCAGCCTGCTGAGTAGCTGGGGCTACAGGCGCCCACCACCACGCCCGGCTAATTTTTTGTATTTTTAGTAGAGACGGGGTTTCACCGTGTTAGTCAGGATGGTCTCGATCTCCTGACCTCGAGATCCACCCGCCTCAGCCTCCCAAAGTGCTGGGATTACAGGCGTGAGCCACTGCGCCTGGCCATTTACCTCTATATTTCTAATATATGGGAATTCATAAGTTTTTCAGTTTCAGGCATCATGTATCTACCTCTCACCATGAGTGGAAGAGGATCTTGTTCTCTTTCATAACAATGCCATCATTCCCCTAAGTACATTTGTATTTTCCCATCTCCTTAGTATATTTATATCTCAGTTTTGGTTAGATCAATATTCAGTATTTATATTAGTGTAACTCTGTAATTATTATTTACAGCTGAGCTACGTTGTATATTATGTTTACTTTCTTTTTTTTACATACTCTTTTGTACTTCCTGAAGTTAATCTTTTTTTTTTGTACATCTGATTAGTTTTCTATATGCTTATCACTAATCTTTTCTCAAGCTCTCCGTCTTTTGTTTAAATCTCCTTTTAATACATTCAAAAACATCAAAAAGGCTGGGCACAGTGACTCATGCCTATAATCCCAACACTTTGGGAGGCCAAGGCAGGTGGATCATTTGAGCTCAGGAGACCAGCCTGGGCAACATGGTGAAACCCTATCTCTACCAAAAATACAAAAATTAGCTGGGTGTGGTGGCATGCACCTGTGGTCCCAGCTACTCAGGAGGCTGAGGCAGGAGGATTGCTGGAGCTCTAGAAGTTGTAGCTTTAGTGAACCATGATCACACCACTGCACTCCAGCCTGGGTGGCAGAGCGATATTCTGTCTCAAACAAGCAAACAAAAACCCACCAGATATTCTATCAGTTTTATCTTCTTGGAAACATCTTTCTCTGGATTTTCTGACCTGCTTTACTCTATCCTGGTTACCTTCTACTCAGCTGCCATCCAAGGATCCCCTTCACCTTTATCCTGGTGAACACTTTGCCTTTTTTGTGTGTTCAGTCCCTTATCTCCCTTATCCCATGCCTGTTTCCTATTGTTACTGCAACAACTTACCACAAACTTCGTGGCTTTTTTACAGAAACGGCATTTAAACTGAGCCCTGAAGGCTGAGTTGGAATTAACTAGCTGAAGAGTGAGGGAAGATAGTTGTAGGCAGAGAGAGTAGCATATATGAGGAACTGAAGTAGGAATGAGCATAGTGCTTCTGAGGATATCTCCACGTGGGTAATGAGGGCAGAGTACAGCTAGAGTGGTGTGCAGTGAGCAGGGATGGTGGCTGGGGGCCACCTCAGGGAGGCCTGATAGGCTGAGTTCAGGATGTTGAACTTTATTCTGAGGGAAATGTGAAACCATTAACAGGTTTTAAGAAAGGGAGAACATGATCAAATCTGCAGTTTAGAAATATCTATCTGGAGGTATTGTGAAGAATGGATTGGGTAAAAGCAGAAGCAGGGAGATCAGTTAAAAGGCAGACATCTGAGGAATCACGGAGGCTTGGATTAATGCAGTGGCCGTGGAAATGGAGAGAAACGAATGGATTTGAGAGATATTTAAGGAGGAGAGTTGCCAAAACTTAATGAAGGGCTGGATATGTGGGGAAGAAGGAAGAGAGCTAGAAGAATAAATCTTGACTTCATTTCTGGCATAGTTAATGTACCTTGGTCCTATCAGACAAAAGTGAGGTCAGTGTGGTTGGCAGACATTGGTAGATTTGGTCTGGAGTGGCTATAATATTACCTTCCCTCAGTTCTCCCCCCAGTGGCTTCTAGGGCCAATGAAATGAGAAATGGTCAGTTACCCATAAGAAGTTGTCCCCTAGAAACAGGTCTTTGCACCTTCCTTTTCCAAGAAGGGTTAGATCTCACTTAAGGGCATGCAGATTGGAGAGGTGCTATAAGAAAATCAGAACCCTCTTTTTCCTATGAGTTCCCCCAACTTGTGCATGTATATATTTGTTGTTATCTATTCATACCTTGTTTCTTTCCCAAAATGGTTTGAGGCAGGTTTATATTTGCCATTTCTGGTGGTCTTTATTTCTTTACGTAGATCAAAATTTCAGTGCAAATTTCCTTCTGCCTGAACTTTAGTTACCATTTCTTATAGTGTAGGTCTACTGGCAATGAATTTTGTTTTGTTTTGTTTTGTTTTGTTTTGAGACAGAGTTTCGCTCTTGTTGCCCATGATCTCGGTTCACTGCAACCTCTGCCTCCTGGGTTCAAGCGATTCTCCTGCTGCAACCTCCCAAGTAGCTGGGATTACAGGTGGCTGCCCCATGCCGGCTAATTTTTTTTGGCCTGGCTAACTTTTTGTATTTTTAGTAGAGATGGGGTTTCACCATGTTGGCCAGCCTGGTCTTGAACTCCTGACCTCAGGCGATCCACCTGTCTTGGCCTACACGCATACAGCACCACACCTGGCTAATTTTTGTGTTTTTAGTAGAGACGGGGTTTTGCCATGTAGGCCAGCCTGGTCTTGAACCCCTGACCTCAGGTGATCCACCTGCCTTGGCCTCCCAAAGTGCTGGGATTACAGGTGTGAGCCACTGCACCCGGCCTGGCAATTAATTTTCTAGCTTTTGTTTGTCTCAAAAAGTCTACTTCATTTTCCTTTTTGAAATATATTTTTTGTTGGGTATAGAATTCTAGGTTGACATTTATTTTTTCTTTTAGTACTTTTAAGATATTCCGTTGTCTTCTGGCTTGGGTCATTTCTGACGAGAAGTCTGCTATCATTCTTATCTTTGTTCCTCTGTAAATGATATACTGTTTTTCCTTCTTTTAAGATTTTTCTCTTATGGCTGGTTTTTAGAAATTTGATTATAATATACCTTGGTGTGTTGTTGGTTTCTTTTTGTTTTTTTCTGCTTTTTGGAGCTGTGGGTTTATAGTTTTGCCATATTTGGAAATTTCTCAGACATTATCTTCAAATATTTTTCTCTGTACTCCCCTCAGATCTCTCTTTCTGAGATTTGAATTACACCAAATATTACGTTTAATGTTGTCCTGCAAATAACTAATGCTCTTTTTGTGTGTGTGTCTTTTTTTCTCTATGTCTTTTTTATTTTTGTCTTTTAAATTTTTTTTTTCCCAGAGACAGGGTCCTGCTCTGTCTCCCATGCTGGAGTGCAGTGGCATGATCTTGGCTCACTGCAACTTCCGCCTCCCAGGTTCAAACAATTCTTGTGCCTCAGCCTTCTGAGCAACTGGGATTACAGGCATGCACCACCACACCCAGGTAATTTTTGTATTTTTAGTAGGGACAGGGTTTCGCCATATTGCCCAGGCAGGTCTTGGACTCCTGGTCTCAAGTGAGCCACCTACCTTGGCCTCCCAAAGTGCTGAGACTACAGGCATGAACCACTGTGCCTGGCCAAGGACAAATTTTAATGGTTGTCTTAATGGGCCAGGTGCAGTGGCTCACGCCTGAAATTCCAGCACTTTAGGAGGCCAACGTGGGCCGATCACGAGGTCAGGAGTTTGAGACCAGCCTGGCCAACATGGTGAAACCCCACCTCTACTAAAAATACAGAAAATTAGCTGGGTGTGGTGGTACATGCCTGTAGTCCCAGCTACTCGGGAGGCTGAGGCAGAAGAATTGCTTGAACCCGGGAGGGGGAGGTTGCAGTGAGCTAAGATCACACCACTACATTCTATCCTAGATGACAGAGTAAGACTGTCTCAAAAAAAAAAAAAAGTAAATAAAGTTGTCTTAATGGTCTTGTCTTCTAATTCTGTTATCTCTGTGTTATCTCTGTTTTTTGGGGTCTGTTCTATTGGTTTTTTTCTTTTTCTTTTTTTTTTTTTTGAGACGGAGTCTTGCTGTGTCACCCAGGCTGGAGTGCAGTGGCACAATCATTGCTCACTGCAACCTCCACCTCCCAGGTTCAAGAGATTCTCCTGCCTCAGCCTCCCAAGTAGCTGGGACTACAGGTGTGCATCCTCATGCCCGACTAATTTTTGTATTTTTAGTAGTGACAGGGTTTCACCATGTTGGCCAGGCTGGTCTTGAACTCCTGACCTCAGGTGATCCGCCCACCTTGGACTCCCAAAGTTCTGGGATTACAGACACGAGCCACCGCCCACAGCCTGTTCTGTTGATTTTTTTCTTCTAATTATAAGCCATATTGTTTTCCTTCTTTGCATGCCTGGTAATTTTTTTTTTTTTTTTAGATGTTATTCACATACCATAGAAGTCACTTTTTATTTTTTATTTATTTATTTTTTTGAGACAGAGTCTCACTCTGTCGCCCAGGCTGGAGTGCGGTGACACAATCTCAGCTCACTGCAATCTCCCAGGCTGGAGTGCCGTGGCGCGATCTTGGCTCACTACAACTTCCGTCTCCTGTGTTCAAGAGATTCTCTTGCCTCAGCTTCCCGAGTACCTGGGACTACAGGTGCATGCCACCACACCCAGCTAATTTTTAAAAAAATTTTTAGAAGAAATGGAGTTTCACCATGTTGGCCAGGCTGGTCTTGGACCCCTGACCTCAGGTGATCCACCTGCCTCGGCCTCCCAAAGTGCTGGGGTTACAGGAGTGAACCACCGCACCCGGCCAGAAGTCACTTTTTTTTTAAAGAGTACAGTTTGGTGGTGTTTAGTATATTCACAGAGTTGTGCAATCATCACCAATATCTATTTCCAGAACATTTTTATCAACCCTCTCCCCATATCCCCCCAAAGAAGCCCTCATACTCACTAGCAATCACCACTCCTCATTCTCCCCTCCTCTCAGACTCTGGTAAGTACTAGTTCACTTCCTGGTGTCTTTGGATTTACCCGTATTGGCATTTCATACAATATATGGTCTTTGTGTCTGGCTTCCTTTACTTCACGTAATGTTTTTGAGGTTTATTCATGTTGTTTGTTTGTTCGTTTGTTTTTGAGATGGAGTTTTGCTGTTGTTACCTAGGCTGGAATGCAATGGTATGATCTCAGCTTACCACAGCCTCCTTCTCCCAGGTTCAAGCGATTCTCCTGCCTCAGCCTCCCAAGTAGCTGGGATTACAGGCACGTGTCATCACACCTGGCTAATTTTTGTATTTTTAGTAGAGGCGGGTTTTCACCATGTTGGCCGGGCTGGTCTCAAACTCCTGACCTCAGGTGATCCACCTGCCTCGGCTTCCCAAAGTGCTGGTGTGAGCCACCGCACCCAGCCAAGGTTTAGTCGTGTTATAACATGAATGAGTCAGTCCTCCATAAACATTATTTCTTTTTATGACTGAATAATATTTCCTCATATGGATATGCCTGATAATTTTTGACTGGATGCTGAACATTTTTATTTTACATTGCTGAGTGCCAGATTTTTATATTCCTTGGTTGGACTTTGTTCTGGAATACAATTAAGTTACTTGTAATTAGTTTAGTCCATTTGATCCTGGCTTTTCAGCTGTGTTAGTGTGGTTCTACAGCAACCTTTAAGGTAATTTAACCCATTATTGTATTATACTAAGTGTATTGTACTAAGTGTAACAATACAGATTGTACTAAGACAATACACTTCTGAGAATTCTAGTTGTTGCCCTGTGTATTAGGAGATCCTCCCAGGCTGGCTAGTGGGAACACAACTATTCCCAGCCTTTATGAACCATGGGGGTTGTTTCCCCTACTCCTTTCTGTTGGTTATTGCCCCAGGCTTTGGTATTTTCCTCACACATACACATATCATACTCTACCAAAGACCTGAGAAAGGACCCTTTTGCAGATCTTTGGAACTCTCTCTATGTGTAACTTCCTCCTCTCTGGTATTTTTTGCCCTGAAAATTCCAGCTGCGTTGGCCTCCCTGAACTCTGAACTATGTTTCTTCCACTCACCAATATGCCAGGCTTCATTTGGGCTGCTCTTGCTATCGCCTGAAAACTCTCTCCAGGCGGTGAACAAGGGTAGTTGTCAAGCTCAGTTTGTTTGCTTCTCTTCTCTCAGGGATCAGTGTCCTGGGCTGCTTGTTGTGCATTGTCTGGAAACCATTGTTTATATATTTTGTCCAATTTTATAATTGCTTAAGATGGTAAAGTAATTCTGGTCCCTGTCACTCTACGGCTGTGGCTTAAGACAGTTTAGATGAAATGATACATACAAGGAGACAGAATAATAATAATAGTAATAAACATGGTGAAGCTAGTATTCCAGTTATATGAATAATATCATTATAGTGACTAAGTGCTAGTTTTTCTCTGAATTTCCCAGAAACTAGCATCAAAAAGAAAATATAGGCTGGGCATGGTGGCTCCTGCCTGTCGTCACACCACTTTGGAGGCCGAGGTGGGCAGATCACCTGAGGTCAGAATTCGAGACCAGCCTGGTCAACATGGCAAAACCCTGTCTGTACTAAAAATAGAAAGAAATTACCTGGGCATGGTGGTGTATGCCTGTAATCCCAGCTACTCGGGAGGCTGAGGCAAGAGAATCTCTTGAACCTGGGAGGCAGAGGTTGCAGTGAGCTGAGATCATGCCACTGCATTCCAGCCTGGGCGACAGAACAAGACTCTGTCTCAAAAATATAATAATAATAAACAAATATGAAATAAAAAACATAAAAAGGAAAGTATAGAAGGGTGGATTATCTTATAGAAAAAAAATAAGCTATTTTCAATAGAGAAGATAAATGCATTTTACCCTGAATTTTAAGACAGATGTGTTATGTGGGACCTTCTGTGGGGATTTGCTGTGAGCTGCTGACATCTCTCTCCATTGTACCAGCAGGGGCAGCTGGTGGAAGTGATGCTGAGGCGACGGCTGCTGACTGGAAGAAGTGTGACCTGATCGCAAAGATTTTGGCCTCTTGTCCCCAGCAGTCTCTTTCACCAGAGAGTTACTACCGGGACATCTGCCCCCAGGTGCATCATTTTGTTTCTGTTGACCATTTGAGGATTATCAGCTTATGTACAGAAAGAGGACTTTTAATGTTCCTCTAGGATTGAGATAAAAGCAGTATAATATTTAAGTTTATTGTTTAGTGAGGAGTCTTCTTAATAAATGAATAAAAACCTATGGAAGAGACTGACCTAATTGTGCAGTTTAAGAACGGCGAGGCCAGGCGCAGTAGCTCACACCTGTAATCCCAGCACTTTGGGAGGCCGAGGTGGGCGGATCACCTGAGATCGGGAGTTCAAGACTAGCCTGACCAACATGGAGAAACCCCGTCTCCAGTAAAAAAAATGCAAAATTAGCTGAGTGTGGTGGCACATGCTTGTAATCCCAGCTACTTAAGAGGCTGAGGCAGGAGAATTGCTTGAACCCCAGAGGTGGAGGTTGCCGTGAGCCGAGATTGAGCCATTACACTCCAGCCTGGGCGACAAGAGCGAAACTCCGTCTCAAAAAAAAAAAAAAAGAATGCCTTACCACTATTGAATGATTGGCCCAGCTCGCTCTCAGAGCTAGAATACGAAACTCAAGTTTCATCTTGTTCATTATCTTTTCTCTCCATGTGTTTTTAATTAGTTTTTTTCCTCTGAGTTTTTTCTTACTGCACAGGAATGGAACTCAAGTATAATATTGGTAGATATTTAAATGTAGATATTAAATAAACAAGGTAAATTAACATGGCAAACAATTTAAAAAGCATACAAGAGTAAACCAAAATCTAAGTCTCCCATTCCTGTTTTCCAGTCCCTCAGAGGTAGTCACTGCTATGAATTTCTTTCCAGAGATATTCTGTGTATTATGCATATACCATCATATGTGTATATGTTAATGTATGTGTGTATTAACGTGTATGTGCATACACACATACATTAACATATACACATATGATGGTAAAATTAATGCTAATTCTTTTTTTTGAGAGAGAGTTTTGCTCTTGTTGCCCAGGCTGGAGTGCAATGGCGAGCTTTCGGCTCACCACAACCTCCACCTCCCGGGTTCAAGCAATTCTCCTGCCTCAGCCTCCTGAGTAGCTGGGATTACAGGCATGCGCCACGAGGCCTGGCTAATTTTGTATTTTTAGTAGAGATGGAGTTTCTCCATGTTGGTCAGGCTGGTCTCGAACTCCCGACCTCAGGTGATCCACCCAAAGTGCTGGGATTACAGGCGTGAGCCACCACACAAGGCCAGTGCTAATTTCTATCTAAATGATAGCATGCAGCATGCTCTCTTTCATTTTGCTTTTTTTCATTGATAGTGTACTGTGGCCAGGCACAATGGCTCACTCCTGTAATCCCAGCAGTTTGGGAGGCTGAGGTGGGCAGATCACTTGAGGACAGGAGTTCGAGACCAGCCTGGCCAACATGGAGAAACCCTGTCTCTACTAAAAATACAAAAATCGGCCAGGTGTGGTGGTGTACGCCTATAGTCCTAGCTACTCAGGAAGCTGAGGATAGAGAATCACTTGAACCCCGGAGGCAGATGTTGCAGTGAGCCGAGTTCACACCAATGCACTCCAGCCTGGGTGACAGAGCGAGATTCCATCCAAAAAAAAAAGAAAAAAAATAGTGTACCTTGGAGATCATTTCATTCATTTTCATGGGTACATGATATTTCATCATATTAATGTACTATAATTTATTATAGTACATTGCTATTGATGGACATTTGAGTTCTTTCCATTCTTTTTCTATTACAAATTACACTACAGTTAATATCCCTAAGTCTTTGTACATAACTACCAGTATTACCATAGGAAAAATTCCTAGAATTGAAATTATTGGTTCAAAGGTTTTATGCATTTAAATTTTTGATTGATATGCTTTATGTACCTATTTTCCAACATTTTTACCCACACAATGTGTTACAAAGTTTTTGATCTTTCCTAATCTGATACATGAAAAATGTGGAGTTTTCTTAATTAATACTCCCTATGCGTGTGCCTAAAATGAGCCTGTATTTTATAAATTTGATAAAATAATAAAAACACTGCAAGTATGAGGGATGGGCAAAACAAATTTTTAATTAAAAATAAAAACACTGCCTGTTCAGCTCTCTTACCCTTTGATCCTGGGTATGTTAAATTAAGAAAAGAATTCTGTTGAATCAGTGTTATTGAAGTGAGTTTATTTTTTTTGGCTTAAAAAATTCATGCTTTTTCTTTTTAGTTAATGTCATATTCCTTGCAAAAAACTGGCATTTACTTCTTGTAATATTTTTGTAGGTTCTGGATTTATTTCACTTTCAGGATAAATTGACAGCACGACAGTTTCAGAGAGTTGCCACCACTACCTTTATAACTTTGTCAAGAGAACGCCCACAATTGGCAGCAAAGTATTTGCTCCAGCCAGTGTTAGCTCCTCTTCATCGATGTTTGAGTACAGCAGGTAAAGGAGGAAGTGTGGTGGTTGGGTGTGCCTCTAAAGGACCTTCTTCAGTATTTTATGTTTAAATGATTTAAATTTGTGTTATTTCAGTGTCTTTAGTTTTCCTTCCCCTCCCTGCAACTTGTTATTTTGAGAAATTCACTTACAAGTTTCAAGAAGAGTATACTGGGCCGGGACGGTGGCTCATGTCTGTAATCCCAGCACTTTGGGAGGCCGAGGTGGGCGGATCACGAGGTCAGGAGATAGAGACCACGCTGAAACCTACTTGGGAGGCTGAGGCAGGAGAATGGCGTGAACCCGGGAGGCGGAGCTTGTAGTGAGCCGAGATCCAGCAACTGCACTCCAGCCTGGGCGACAGAGTGAGACTCCGTCTCAAAAAAAAAAAAAGAGATCACCTAGACTGAATAACTTTACATTTTGGCCACATTTGTTTTTTCTTTCTCTCTTTCTGCACATATAAACATATCTTTTCTGAAGCATTTGAGAGTTAGTTGCAGACATCACAACACTTCACCCCTAAATAATTCAGTATGCATCTCCAAAGAAAAATGTCAGTCTCCTACATAACCGCAATGCAATTACCACACCCAGGAAATTTAACATTTATACAATATGCTGTGATATAATATATAAATTCCATTCAAACTTCTCTAATTTTTTCAATAATTTCTTTTAGAGCTGTTTTTTTAAATCCAAAGTTCAATCAAGAATCATAGATGGGCATGGTGGCTAATGCTTGTAATCTCAGCACTTTGGGAGGCTTAGGCGGGCAGATTGCTTGAGCCCAGAAGTTCGAGACCACTTGGGCAACATGGCAAAACCCCATCTTAACCAAAAAACAATGTAAAAATTAGCCAGGCGTGGTGGCAAGCACCTATAGCCCCAGCTACTTGGGAGGCTGAGGTGGGAGGATCGCTTGAGCCTGGGAGATTGAGGCTGCAGTGAGCCATAATCACGCCTCTGCACTTTAGCCTGGGTGACAGAGTACGACCCTTGCTAAAAAAAAAAAAAATATATATATATATATATATATATATAAAAAATAAAACTATGTCTAAATAAATAGAAAGACATTGTAAAACTTAAAACTTTTTAAAAATTTTTGTTTTTTATAGAGTTGGGGTCTTCCTATATTGTCCAGGCTGGTCTGGAACTCCTGGGCTCAAGTGATCTTCCTGCTTGAGCCTCCAAAAGTGCTGGGATTGCTGAGGCGGGAGGATCGCTTGAGCCCAGGAGTTTGCGACCAGGCTGGGTAACATAATGAGAACCTGTCTTTAGAAAACATTTTAAAAATTAGGTGGGCGTGTTGGTGCACGCCTGTATTCCCAGCTGCTCAGGAAGCTGAGGTAGGAGGATCACTTGAGCCCAGGAGGTTGAGGCTTCAGTGAGCCATGATTGCACAGTTCCACTCCAAAACCTGGGTTATAGAGCAAGACCCTGTCTCAAATAAATAAAAAAATGTAACTATTTTAAAACTTTTTGAAGGGAAATTTTAAAACACATGCTATAGAGATTATATAATGAACTCTTATGTACCTATCACCTAGATACAACTATTAACTCTGCCATTTTCTTTCTTTTTTTTTTTTTTGAGACAGAGTCTCGCTCTGTCACCCAGGCTGGAGTGCAGTGATGCGATCTCAGCTCACTGCAACTCCGCCTCCCAGGTTTACGCTATTCTCCTCCCTCAGCCTCCCGAGTAGCTGGGATTACAGGCGCCCACCACCACGCCCAGCTAAATTTTTTTGTTTGTTTGTTTGTTTTGAGACGGAGTCTTGCTCTGTCACCCAGGCTGGAGTACAGTGGTATAATCTCAGCTCACTGCAACCTCAGCCTCCCGGGTTCAAGCGATTCTCCTGCCTCAACCTCCTGAGTAACTGGGATTACAGGCACAGGCCACCACGCCCAGCTAATTTTTGTATTTTTATTAGAGATGGGGTTTCACCATGTTGGTCAGGCTGGTCTCGAACTCCTGACCTCGTGATCCGCCCACCTCGGCCTCCCAAAGTGCTGGGATTACAGGCGTGAGCCACTACACCCAGACTAATTTTTTGTATTTTTAGTAGAGACAGATTTTTTCTGTATTAGCAAGGATGGTCTCGATCTCCTGACCTTGTGATCCACCCACCTCAGCCTCCCAAAGTGCTGGGATCACAGGCATGAGCCACCGCACTTGGCCAATGCTGCCATTTTCATTTATCCAATCCCCAATTTTTATTCAATTAAGTTTAAAATGAAAATTCTTTTTTTTTTTTTTTTGAGACAGAGTCTCACTCTGTTACCCAGGCTTGAGTGCAGTGACACAATCTCGACTCACTGCAACCTCCGCCTCCTGGGTTCAAGTGATTCTCCTGCCTCAGCCTCCTGAGTAGCTGGGACTACAGGCCTGCGCCACCACATCTGGCTAACTTTTTATATTTTTAGTAGAGACCGGGTTTCACCATGTTGGCCAGGCTGGTCTCGAACTCCTGACTTTGTGATCCGCTCGCCTCGGCCTCCCAAAGTACTGGGATTACAGGCCTGAGCCACAGTGCCTGGCCTAAAATGAAAATTCTAAGTGATAATGTGTTATAGGTTAATTGGCAATGTTGGTGTTTTTTCTTAGTGATATGTAAAATAACAATTCATGTTTATAATCACTGGCATCATATATTCTATGAAATGTGTATGAAGGGTATATTGTTCAATGGTAACCGTGTCAATTTTCTGATCTTAGCTGTTACCTACTGAGCCATCTTTTTAGTAAAACTTTCTTCCTTAGCTTTAGTATGTTCTATTCAGTGAGGCACTAAATATGGGTAATTTTGTGTTTTTGTTTTTGTTTTTCTAGAGATTCCAGAGAGTCACATGGTACCAGGAACTATTTTGGTGACAGAAGAAGAACTTAGTAGATGCATTGAGGATGTGTTTAAGGTTGGTAATCTGAACCACTGATGTTTTTATTGACTTCTTATTTAAAATTTTTTAAAAATTTTTTCTTTTTTTGTAGAGATGGGGATCTCTCCACGTTGCCCATTCTGGTCTTGAACTCCTGGCCTCAAGCGATCCTCCTTCCTCAGCCTCCCAAAGTGCTGGGATTACAGGTGTGAGCCACTGCTCCCAGCCTTTTAAAATAATTTTACCTTTTAATTAGCACTTGAAGCATTGGAATAACTAATCTAAAGCTCCAAGCTGTCAGAATCTTTTCACTATGAAAACCAGAAACTATAAGCTGACCTTTTTTAGTCTTTTGTTGTTGTTTTTCCTTTTTGTGGAGAATGAGGTCTCGCTGTATTGCCCAGGCGGGTCTCAAACTCCTGGGCTCAAGCTATCCTCTTGCCTCTGCCTCCTTAAGAGCTCGGATTACAGGCGTGAGCCACTATGTCTGGCGAGCTGACCTTTTTAAGTGAAAAAACTGATATATTTTTGAAACTCTGTTAATTACATCATTTATTCTAAATGTTGAAATAGTTTAGATTTTCTGACTGGCAAATGCCACTGATGAAAGCATGTCTTTTGAAGAAATTGACACGGAGCGGGGCATGGTAGCTCACACCTGTAATCCCAGCACTTTGGGAGGTTGAGGAGGGTGGATCACCTGAGGCCAGCAGTTCAAGACCAGCCTGGCCAATATGACAAAACCCCATCTCTACTAAAACTACAAGAATTAGCCGGGCGTGGTAGCATGCACCTGTAATCCCAGCTACTTAGGAGGCTGAGACAGGAGAATCGCTTGAACCCAGGAGGCAGAGGTTACAGTGAGCCAATATTGTGCAACTGCACTCCAGCCTGGGGATAGAGCAAGACTCTGTCTCCAAACAAACAAACAAAAAAAGAAATTGACGGGTGTTTTCAGTATTCTAGCCTTCCTAAAAGTGTATGATAATTGAATCTACTTTATAACTTTTGATAGTAATCACTGTCATAACAAATTAAGTCTGAAAAAATGATTCCTGCAAATGACTACATAAATATATAACAAGAGTGAAAACTGCTTTTCTATTCATCGGAAGAAAAAAAATGAATGAAAACTAAGAATCTAAGTGTTATGTTCTTTATTATCACAATCTTATAAATATATGTGGTATATGCTTTTGGAAAATAAATGAAATTCATTGTGTTATGGCTAGATGGAATTAGGATAAATATTCTTTAAAATTTATGTTAGGCCCAGTGTGGTGGCTTATGCCTATAATTCCAGCACTTTGGGAGGCGAAGGCAGTAGGATTACTTGAGGGTAGGAGTTCAAGACCAGCCTGGTCAATATAGTGAGACCCGATCTCTATAAAAAATAAAAATAATAAATAAGGTTTATTTTAATATATTTATAATAATTTACTGCTGAACACTTTTACATTAGAAAACAGCTTTCAAAACTGTATTTCATGTGAAAAAGGTACAGCTGCTTTGGAAAATAGTTTGACATTTCCTCAAAAAGTTAAACATGGAGTTATCATATGACCCAGCAATTCCACTACTAGGTATATACCCAAGAGAAATGAAAACATGTTCATATAGGCTGGGCACGGTGGCTCATGCCTGTAGTCCCAGCACTTTGGGAGGCCGAGGCAGGTGGATCATGAGGTCAGGAGATCGAGACCATCCTGGTTAACACGGTGAAACCCTGTCTCTACTAAAAATACAAAAAAATTAGCCGGGTGCGGTGGCGGGTACCTGTAGTCCCAGCTACTCGGGAGGCTGAGGCAGGAGAATGGCGTGAACCTGGGACGCGGAGCTTGCAGTGAGCCGAGATTGTGCCACCGCACTCCAGCCTGGGCAACAGAGCGAGACTCCGTCTCAAACAAAAAAAAAAGAAAACATGTTCATACGAAAACCTGTATGTGAATTTAGTAGGTAGGACAGGGAGCAATTACAATAGCACAAGGGATCTTTTGATGAAGGAAAGGTTCTAAAATTGTATTGTGGTGATGGTTTTGCAAATCTGTAAATTTACTAAAATTCACTGAACTGTATATTTAAAATAAATGATTTTATGGTTTTTAAAGTATACTTCAATAAACCAGTTTTATTTAAAAAAAAAAAAAAGACTTGGCACGGTGGCTCACGCCTGTAATCCCAACACTTTGGGAGGCCAAGATGGGCGGATCATGAGGTCAGTAGATCAAGACCATCCTGGCTAACATGGTGAAACCCCGTCTCTACTAAAAATACAAAAAATTCGCCGAATGTTGTGGCATGCACCTGTAGTCCCAGCTACTCAGGAGGCTGAGGCAGGAGAATCACTTGAACCTGGGAGGCAGAGGTTGCAGTGAGCCAAGATTGTGCCACTGTACTCCAGCCTGGGTGACAGAGTGAGACTCTGTCTCAAAATAAATAAAAATACAAAGATTAGCTGGATGTGATGGCGTGTGCCTGTAATCCTAGTTACTCTTGAGGCTGAGGCAGAAGTATCACTTGCACCTGGGAGATGGAAGTCGCAGTAAGCTGAGATCACACCACTGTACTCCAGCCTGGGCAATAGAGCAAGACACTGCCTCAAAAAACGAAAAGATAAATAATAAAAATAAAGTGTACAGGCACGCCTGTAATCCCAGCACTTTGGGAGGCCAAGGTGGGTGAATTACCTAAGGTAAGGAGTTTGAGACCAGCCTGGCCAACGAAGTGAAACCCTGTCTCTACTAAGAATACAAAAATTAGCTGGGCATGGTGGTGGGCGCCTGTAATCCCAGCTCCCCAGGAGGCTGAGGCAGGAAAAGCATTTGAACCCAGGAGGTGGCGGTCAGCCGAGATCGCACCGCTGCACTCTGGCTGAGTGACAGAGCAAGCATCTCTCAAAATAAATAAATAAATAAATAAATAAATAAATAAATAAATAAGTAAAGGTGCAGATCAATGACTTTTATGTATATTCGTAGGTATGTACAACTGTCATCACGATCGTCTTTAGAACTTTTTATTCCCAAAAAAGAAAACCCCGGCTGGGCACAATGGCTCGTGCCTGTAATCCCAGCACTTTAGGATGCCCAGGCAGGAGGATCCCTGAGGTCAGGAGTTCGAGACCAGCCTGACCAATATGATGAAATCCCATCTCTATTAAAAATGTAAAAATTAGCTGGACGTGGTGGCGCATGCCTGTAATCCCAGCTACTTGGGAGGCTGAGGCAGGAGAATCGCTTGAACCTGGGAGGCAGAGGTTGCAGTGAGCTGAGATCACGCCACTACACTCCAGCCTGGGTGACAGAGCAAGACTCCGTCTCACAAACAGAAAGGAAGGAAGGAAGGAAGGAAGGAAGGAAGGAAGGAAGGAAGGAAGGAAGGAGGGAGGGAGGGAAGGAAGGAGGGAGGGAAGGAAGGAGGGAGGGAGGGAAGGAGGGAGGGAGGGAAGGAAGGAGGGAAGGAAGGAAGGAGGGAAGGAAGGAAGGAGGGAAGGAGGGAAGGAGGGAGGGAGGGAAGGAGGGAGGGAGGGAAGGAGGGAGGGAGGGAAGGAAGGAAGGAAGGAAGGAAGGAAGGAAGGAAGGAAGGAAGGAAGGAAGGAAGGAAGGAAGGAAGGAAGGAAGGAAGGGAGGGAGGGAACCCTCGCCACACCACTTAGCCATCACTCTGAAATCTCTCCACCACCAATCCCCCGTCCCCTATAAATAGACAACCACTAACCTGTATTCTGTCTCTCAAGTTTTGCCTATTCTGTACGTTTCATATAAATGGAATTGTACAACATGGTTTTTTTTTGTGATTGGCTTCTTTCACTTAGCATGATATTATCACATGGAACCATACTTCATTTCTTTTCATTGCCAAATGGTGTTCTCTTGTATTAACATGCCTCATTTTATCTGTTCATCAGTAAATGGACATTTAGGTTGTTTCCATAATAACATTTTGGCTATTATGAATAATGCTGCTATGGACATTTATGTATACATTATTGTGTATATTTATGTGTTCATTTCTTTTTGGTATATACCTAGTAATAGAATTGCTGGATCATATAGTAACTATGTTTAACTGTTTGAGGCACTTCTAGACTGTTGTCCAAAGTGACTGCACCATTTTACATTCCCATCAGCAGTACATGAGGGTATAAAGTAAATTACATTCTTTCAGATAAGAAGGCAGATACTTTTGTTTTGCTTTAAGCTTTCAGCATGATACTAGTAGATTCACAGAGAGAAAATGCAAACTCATTCTCCATAGCACTCACTTCATTTCTTTTTCTTTTTTTTTTTTTTGAGACAGAGTCTCACTCTGTTACCCAGGCTAGAGCGTAGTGGCATGACCTTGGCTGACTGCAACTTACGCCTCACAGGTTCAAGCGATTCTCTTGCTTCAGCCTCCGCAGTAGCTGGAATTACAGGCACCCACCACCACGCTGAGCTAATTTTTGTATTTTCAGTAGAGACAGGGTTTCACCATGTTTGCCAAGCTGGTCTCAAACTCCTGACCTCAAGCAATCCGCCTGCCTTGGCCTCCCAAAGTGCTGGGATAACAGGCATAAGCTACCGTGCCTGGCCTCACTCACTTTATTTGTAAAGTGGAATGTTTACTACCCTTTTATTTAATTTCACTATTTTTAAAAATAAAGTCTACCCTTTAAGGGTTGACCTGGCACACAAATATGGAATCAGATTGCTCAGAGATTGAAAGGTGACATGCTAACTATGTGAATATAATGCTGTTTTTATTTTTTAATGCCTCATGGATAGACTCCTGAAAAGAGCGGTCTTCTAGGCAAAGACTTTCAGATTATGGAGAGATAAGAAATTATTAGAGCAGTCTAGAAAGCAGATGTTCTAAATTAGAGAACAGTGGCCTACTAACTTTCAGAAAGACCATGTCCCATCCAAGAAATAGCATGATGAAAAACTGCCAAGTGGTTGGGTTTAGAATGTTGGAAAGATTTGAAAGTACTGTCAGGATAGGGGTAAGACTAATTGTGACTAAATTTTGGTGGAAACCCCTTATAATATGCCTTG